ATACTAACAGAACTTGTCAAGTTGACCATGTGTGAGCTAATGCACAGCCGTCTTATTGAAAATGTATGGGCACAGTACGTTGACAGATGCGGAAGCATGCTCATAAGAGCATAGAAAATCAATCCACTTTGTTCCGCAATTTGCCATTAACTCTTCGAAACAAGACACGAAAATGCCTGGCAGTAAGGAATGCAGCATAGCGTGTCTAAAATGTCAACCCTGTTCCCGAAACCTTGGGAAATTCCTGACGCATTGCGACCATTGCAGATCATTCATTCATGTGGAAACCGTTATTTTTCAACAGTGGATAAATAAACCGTTTCACACTAAGAGTACGCCACTGTGTGAGTATGTCAACAGCTTTTGTAAAGTGGGGAGCACCCCACTTAACACCACCGAACACTAAGTACCGACAAAAAGGCCAACACCTTGTGGCTACAATACAGACATACAGCCTGTCCGTGTCACATTCTGTCATTCATTTTACCCACTCCAAGATTTACAAGCCATTCTCAACCCAGTAATGGGGCTAAAGAAGTTGCTATCAATTCGCGCTCCTAATTCTCCCGGGCCTATAGCATTCTTCTGGGGGCACTGGAGGTCACCACTACTAAGCTAACCGAGACCCTATAGAGGTTCTTCCGAAGGTACTTAAATGTGCAAATTTTTGAGAAGGCCACCATGCCGATCTTGCTAATTAACGCCCACCAACCCTCCTTTCTGTGCTATCAATGTTGATGTATGTGGCCGTCGCTAAGGAGTTATTTGACTGCCTGGAATTTTGTAACGGCTTGGTACCGCAACAACACTGCTTCCGTCAACACCGTAGGTGCGCCACCGACCTGATCATGGTACGATGTAGTTAGACAGAAGCGGCCAATATTGGGGCCGGGATGGACGTTATTTTTCGGACTTTTTCAAAGCTTTCAATCACCTGAATCACCACATCCTACTTCACATGTCACAGCGATAAAAGTTGAGGATTCTATCATTGGGTGGTTTGGCAACTTTCTTCACCAACGGGAACTACTACTGTGTGTCAAGAGTGGAACACGGTGTTCCACAGGGCTCAGGGCACGATTATCCCTGGTGCTTATCAACGACCTTACACGAGTTATGACCTAGAATTTCCTGCTTTTCGCTGGTGATGTCAAGATATGGCTAGTGACTTATAGCAATGATGATCACAGTTTCCTCCAACGTGACACGGTGACGTCCATGGATGGTCGAGGAGGAAAGAACCCTAGTGCAACGCGACCAAATAAAATGTGGTCCATAAACCTCATCAGCCAGTGCGCTTATAACAACTTGGAGGCTACACGTTGGGCAAAGCTTCCTAGAAGTTAGTGTGGTACTAGTCAATAATGACCTTGAGTGGGCCTTGAAAACTGGCAAGCAAAACGTCGGCCTTTTATTCATAAGGTTTGTATAATTTCAGCCTCCTACCTTCTTGCAAACACTCAACGCCTACGCGCGAACTCACCTGGTAGACTCCATCTAGGTGTTGCCCGCATGGTGGAAGCAGGATTTCATTTCAGTCGACACTCCACAACGAAAGCCACCCAAAGACGTCAGGGGTCTCTTAAATCTACCCGTATAACTTAAACTGCGGTCCTTATGAGTGCACAACATTCGGTCTCGGGGTTTGCTGGGGAACCTTACGATTTGCCACATCCTGAGGAACCCTAATCGAATCTGTCTCCCTCACCTACAACGCACTAATTGCACGAACCACTGACATCATCATTTAAAATTGACCACGCAGTATAGCCAGCTGGAACTCCGTTGAAATTTCATCTGTTTTAGTGTATCAGCCATGGAACTCCTCCCCGTTTTGTACGCTGTTTCTGCCCAAGTCTAAAAATATTTACAAACAAATTGAGGACGGATTGTGCCTTTTTGCCTTTAATTTGATAGCTTCTTTTCCAGGAGGCTATATAAAACAACCAAACGATGTCAAAGCTGAAGTTAGGGAGCAACCTGCGTTGTTGGGTTGCTGCTCGCAAGCTCTATTGAGACCTCGGCTCACTATGTGGTAAATCTCAGCCATTCCGATCTCGAGGACCGTATTGGGTTGGGAAGAGCAACACCCAAATATAATCAAACGATGTATTCTCAAATTCTAATCAGGTGAGTCTGTACTTGTTATCACTTAAGGATCTCGACGTGTCCAACCGTGTGCACTCCATTTATTGGACACGCTATTCCTTAACTGTGCTATTTCCAACTCTACTACCGTACGGGACATGTTAAGCCAGTAATCACCACACCGTCTTCCGAATTTCTGGGTACCACTTATTGCATTATATGTATTCAAAAGTAACAACATGACACAATCACTCCAGGTACATTGCGTGATTTAGTCCGACTTCTTTAGGGCCGCGATAACGCAAAAAACGGCATGCATGCGTGAGATCCGTGATTTGTGCACTGATATTTGTGACGCTTTTGACACGCGTATTTGAAATTCGTTCGTTGCACAGACTATGTTATCATTTTTCACACCCAGAAAGACAATTTTCCTGGATCCGCCCAATGAGCAAAGTTATGGGATAGTACGCCGCACGGCATCAAAAGCTTGTGCATAAAGCAAAGAAACATCCATCGAATTGTGCACATCAAGGGGCTGATCGTAATTCAAAACCGTCCTGGTGAAGCATCCTTCACCCTTGGTATCAGCACCGAGTAAGCGATGCCTAGCTGGTCTATTAAAACACGCGCTGTGTTAGTTGCGCAGCCTCAGCCGTCGATAGGTGCTTCGAACATTTGCCCACAGCCTACGTAAGATTGTACTCTTTCTCGATACGGAGCCATGTTATGCCATGGCTCACAGTGGCTAGTTGGTGATCTGGAGTATGGGTTGTGCTGAGGTTCCCCGTTTTTGCTAGATGTGAATCTAGTAATTGGCCACTCCAGTAAGTTCAAGCGTTTCAGTGCTGTGTTCTCAGCATCGTTATGTCACTTCTAGCTGGCTACCATTCCTTTTAACCATGACAACCGTTAATATTTCTTCGTTGTGATTTTATTAGACTTATTGCCATTATAATGGGATACTCCTGATCCTTTGTTCTAACTAATGCATCCCTACCACTTACACCTTTTCAGTAACTTATTCTTCCAATTGTCAACGTGAAAACTTGCGTAACATCTAGGCTGTTGCACTGTGATACCGCCTACCCAGAATTCGAAGAATATACATGTAATTAGTATTATTATTAGCATTTCTTCGACTAGGCCTTTGGGGCAATAGATGACTGCATCATTATGTATCATTGCAACACAACTCGTGCACCTTTCCTCGTTCACTTCACTGCCAAACAGCCGGCCTCTTCTTCAGCTGTATATTGTGGGCACTGTTATAGCAGACAAACTGAGAAATAGGCATTGATGCTTTTCACAAAAGCTGTCGGGTCACTTCCCCTGCCTAGTAGAACGCTCATTTTTCCATTCATACGGTGCAAAAAAATACGATACTCCCCAATGATGGGGCGGATGGTTGCAATGTGCATGTTTGAAAATTCGTATTGTTCAGAGGTTTACTGAGGATTTATGCTTCTTTCATTACTCGCATCTGGGCAATAAATCTGACACTGTGTTCAATCCGGTCTGTTGAGAGATTTCAACCACTTGTGGTACCGAACAGTGCTGGACGTTCGGTTCGAAACAATAAAAATGTGCCGTTTCGGAATGTGGGCTGAAACACGTCCTGGTCTACGTGGCTACACATCGTTTCCTTGTGTACAACTGGGACTGGTAGCCAGTGTTGTTTTACACTTTTTTCAGAAACACGAGACTCTCCACCCCACTTGATAGCAGATGCTTCACCTATAAGGGATTTTTTCCACGAACAATCCAACACCCGAGTTAGGATTGAATCCATTGCATTGTGCGGCGCAATAGTAATCAGCGACAACAGGACGTCTAGGCAGAGAGAGGCTGTCAATCATCGTAAAGCATGTGATATGGAAATATAGGACAATTAGAAAGCATTCAGACTTGGAAAGTTCCCTGCATAGTGATGGGAGCCTTCCACAAACGCACAACTGAGCTGTTTTCACCAGGGTGAACCAGGAAAGCGCTGGTACAAGGGATGTTGGATGCAGCTGTCTTGTTTGCAGAAGTCTTCTGACGCACCTTCTCCTTGGGCTGTACGTAAGCGCCTTTGAACTCCTGCTGATAGCAATGCATGTAACATCCGGACACACTGTGTTCCGGGCCATATATCAAGCTAACCCTTGCTAGCCGCACAGTGGGGGTGTTACACGATGACCACCCCCACGTAAAATATCTGCAAATGCAGCATCGTGCAGAAGTCGTGCACTTTGTGACTCAATATATATCATTTATTGTCCGCCTAGTAAACTAAATCTAGGTCTCTTATCACTGCTCACTTTGTATGCTCCAAACCAGAGTTGAACGAAATAACCTAACCTAACCTAATCCATGGTAAGGCACATTTTAAACATTTAACAAAAACCAACAAGTTACAGTATGTGGATTGCCCAGAAAACAATTGGATTGAGAAATTTCCTGAATGAGACCTGCCAAAGGTAAACCTATTCTACACTTGGGGTTCAACACTACGGCCAGTCAGTGTCACTAATTGTAAGGTTAGTTAAACCAGTTTTATTGCCTACCATCGTTCTGGTGCTGGGTGTGACTGGGTAATTTGCCAATCGAAGACTGCGTTAGTTGACTTTGTTCTAACATATGCATATGAAAACAGAGCAGACGGGCGATTTATGCCATATTATCCACTGAAGACGTCAATATCATAGTACCGTAGAACAGCAGTTACCTTTATCTTCATGTTGAACTGGTCTACTTGATTCTGAATAGCAAGTGTCAGGCGCTAGATTTACCAACTCTCAAGCACCACTGAAGAATTTTTGTAGTACTGTTGAGTGCAATTTGGAATATTTTCTAAAGATGTCCCTTACAAAATACCATGATCATTTGCATGTTTCATATTTTCTCATCGGTTAATAAATGTTTATTACCTGTTGAGATGACATCTTCAAATTGACAGCGAGTATTTCCCTTTCTTGTGCAGTCAGGTAACGCTGCTGCTTAAATCGATTTTCTAACTCGTAAATCTGCGACTGCGAAAACAGTATCCGCGGCTTGCGCTTTGGATGCTGGCGAGCATGCCAAATATTCTCAAACGCGTTTCCTGTTCCTGGTGTTTTTAGCGAGAGGCTACCATCATCAAAGGATTGAAACGCAGGTCGTCTGTGAACGTAAGGTGTGCCTATACTCTCTTCTGTTCCCTTCTTGTTCAAGTGAGCTAAAATTACATCTGGTTCGCAGTTCGGTCCAGGTCTTTCTCGAGTAGAAGAAACGGTCGTTAATCCAGTTGTAAAAGGCTTTGAATGGTGTTGCGTGTGGCAGCTTTCATCTAAAAATCACAAAAAATGACCTATTGCCATCATGTAGTTCATGAAGTAAGAAGAGTAAGAAAGATTTTGAAACCCGAAGAACGGTGGTTTAAGTATTACTTGTCTTGAACTTTTCTCAAACCGCGATACATGCACCTCCCTAAGTTACAATATGATGGAAGAATGGATTAATACGGGTACCTAGAATTCTCAGGATGACCATCACAAAACATGGAATAGTTGTATAGGCCGCGACACGATGCAAACGTGCAGACGATGAAAAAACAGAACTCCTTCTGAGGACCAAACGATGGCGAAATCGCTAGTAGGCGTTCGTGTATTTTAGTGGGCTATGGGTTATGTGAAATAGGGAAGAGAAATGAGTACGCAGTCAACTCGACCTCTGAAATCTACCAGCACTGGAGCTGAAATGGCTTCCTTAGGGAAGACAGTCTAAGATTGGCAAAAACCTACGGAAAAGAAATTCTGACAGCCTTTAAGCGACTGTACTGTTCAGAAAGCTTGAGATGGCGGTTCCTCCGAGTACTATTGTGGCAGCTCCAGAAGATAAGGACACTCGTGATTGGAGTCTCTCCAAATCTAATTAATCATATTAGGTCCCTAGACATCGTCTGCTGAAAACTCCGAGCGCTCTCGGCCTTCGTTCGTAGGGTAAATCCTTCAAGAATTTGGTTTTCTTCGTTCTCTTGCCTTGTAAGACCTCCAAAGCGGTGAGATTTCTCTACAGCCATAGCTGCCAGAGCCGTATTACGTATTCCCTGTGTGGACGTACGTTTAAGCTGAGATGCTGTTTCAAAAAGCGACGGGCAGAAGCGTCCGAATATATTACGCAATGAGCCTGCGTCTTTTAAGCTTCTTCTTGATCCCTTCTCATCCTGCTCCGAACTGCGAAGATCGGCCTGAATCAAAAGGACCAGTTTGTTTGCGCCCGCAGACGCCTAAAGGTGCTGGTAGTGCAATTTATAGCAGCTGGTTAGCTGGTGTCGTAAGTGCAGCGCTTTACAATTTATCATCATCATCAATAAACGTTAGCTGCAGGTGGAATACACCACAGCTATTGTGCTGCAATACAAAAGAAAAAAGAAGAAAAACAACAGCATGCATTTAATCGAATTAGATTTTGTAGGGACCATGGACAAACCCCGTACAGATCGGCCTAAAGTACTTTGGGATCATCCGTTGTAATGATCGCCCTCCATATCTTTCTGTCACCCGCATAGATTAAACAGTTGCAATAAATAATTACTTTTCTCTCGGAAGATTGCAAATGTTTGGCAAGTCCCTAGGATAGTTTGGCTGATTACTACAAGAGCATAATTTATGTTAGTCATCAAATTCATCGTTTACCATTGGTTTTTGCTTTTGGATTACATCAGTATGGAATGGAGATTATGTTTATGCATACCAAACAATATAGGGAGGAATGGTATTTGCCATAATTATGCAGAACAATAAAAATAAAAGGCTCACTAAGGTACAGCCCTTCTTTGCTTCCACATATTAAGTAAATCTAGTCTGAGCACAACGTAATAATAATCCACACCAAAATGCTTGTGGGATGTGTTATAGATTTGTTATGCATCAAGAACAAACGTGGCCCCAGTACCGGTCCCATTGGTACTGCTCACTCGAATCGGGTGGGTGCTGGCAGGGATGCACGTACTTTTTACTCCATGCGCCAGTGGAGGACAAAGTATATGATCTACGCTGTGAGAGGATAACTAATACCGAGATTTGGATTTTACAAAGTATGATGCAATGGTCCACCCGGTCAAATGCCTTTGTGGAGTCAAGATGAACTACCTAAACTCATGTACTAGTGTCTGCTGATTTGGCATAACTGGATCGTGCTAGCAGTAAATCGGTAGTTCATGATCGATTTCGTCGGACGCCCTCCTGTCCGCGTACAAGGTACGTAAATTGTTCCAACTCAGTCATTAGCATAACGGTAACAATGGCTTTCATGATTTTTGAAAGCCCCCGGGAGAAAGTTTGAGGGACTGTAGTTGCCTGGATCGGGACGACTACGTCTCTTGTGTGTAAGAAGAATCATCCCATGTTCCCACATGTCGGGTATGTACATTTCGTCAAAACAGTGTCGGAAAAAGGGAGAAATACTCGGCTAAGCTCTTTCCTACCGCCGAATTTGACTTCGGGTGAGTATTATTAACCCTGGTCTGGTTGTACTTACGCATACACAACTTTACCATTACAACTGCCTTAACATATATACGAGTGCGTTTTGGTGGTGGGGCAACAATTGCCATAGGGCGAGGTGGCCACGAATCGCGCCGAAAGGATGGGGTCTGTTGCAGTCGCAGGACATTCGCTGCATCTTGTCTGGTCAGGATGCTACTTATGTACCGTTTTATCCTCGCGGACAAGTTGGGTACAGTGTCTACATTGAACCACATAGATTACCCAGGTCTTCTTGCTCAGATAAGTCTTAAGCCAAGCCAAGTTCCTCACCTCTATCCGCTTTCGCGTCTGGCTTTATTCAAACGAGACCAGATTTCTCGACTGAACAGCCTCAGTTTCCGATGCTTTGGTAATTAACGTGTTAAAATGGCGGACGAAAATTTGGCAGGTGTCAGCCAGTGCTTCATTTGCCAGTAATAGGACTTTACTGTTAAAATCGATAATCAAAAACCTCGGTCGTTTGAGCGTCCTATATCCAGCTCTTAATTCATAAATTCAGAACAAACTAATTAATTCCCCTCTAAATGATAACTGGAGCTGTCGTACCCAAATTTTTACAAGGATGCAAAGATGGTGTACATGTCCGCCATTTGTACCTAACGTTACCTAATAACTATGTATACAAACTAATCTGAATAAACCATACTTTTTCTACGCTATCCTAAAGATTGGGTTCCCAAAGCAATTATATGCTTCCGTTGGAGAGCACACAGTAATTGCTCAGTGTTATCATGGCTAAATGTACGCAACCGGTACATGTTTAGCAGAAGGTGCATTTCTATACATATATGTGTTCCTTTGAATAGACAGGCTTGTAGCGGTCGAACAGATGCACGCATTGGTCAGGCTATGTCGACTGCACGAGTTGTGTATTGCAGCCGACTACAATTTCTATGACATCCTGTTACTGGCTTTTGTATACACAAGAAGAATGAGAATAGACGTTACTGATGTCACCGTCGCGAGCAAGGAATATTTTATGCAGAACATCAGTTCACTCAGTTTCGCGCCATGCTCTGCTTTCAAAGTGATACAAGCCTGTCTTGGGGCATAGTGCCACTTCTTAAGTTATTTTGATCGAATCTCAAGATCCTGCTTCTACCTCAAGCAACTAAACCATGAAGAAACTTCAGTAGCCTGATTCCGTTCCTATGATATGTTGAAACAATATAAAATTCTTCGCTCCGTTGATTTACTGCGTTCGCCTTCGGCGTGCCAACTTTCCGATGAGCGCAATGGTGGCGCGCTGCTTTAATTCAAGCATATTGGTGTCACGTGTATTATGAAAGACTGAGACACCCGTTCAGTTCAAGAGCCACAGGGATTTGTATAGACCAAGCTTCTACCCCATCTCCTGCTCTTTCGTCGCATTCATGACAGTCGGAAATAAACGATGTTTCACTTAACATCATGCCTTAATGATTACGAAGGAACCTGGATTTATGCTCCTACAAAATCGTCCGCCATTGAACCTTACTTTCGAAATTGCTAACTTGTGCTTCCTTCTCTATAACACACCGTGATAAACGTATTTGCTCATCTTCGTGGTAACACTGTGCACTTCTTTCCAACCAGTTTTCTTGGATTTATACGTAAATCATTCAGTAATCTAATCGGTAGGGAATGTATACAAGAACGAATTTGGTCTTATGTTAGTTCGAGTACATGTGTCCTTATTTCGCCAGACCCCCGAAGGCCATGAAGCTCCCCAGTCCTATTAAAAATCAGTAACACACCTCCGCGCTGTCGCCAGTGGATTCCACTTACAGGTTAGGTTAAACTATGAAGTATGCATTGAATTACATTCGCCGAGATGCCTCGAGGCACAGCGCCAAATGGTAAGTATAACGAAAACAAAGAAAGTGAGTAAAAGTAGGAGAACAAAAGTTCGTGGAGGATAGGTTGGATTTAAATTGTTTATGATTGATGAGAGGAAGGATTTAGGTAACAGCCGATTGGAATTCATTACAGCCATAGCTCAGACAGATGGCCACTGCATACCCGGAGAAGCGACGGACGGCCATTTCATTCAGTGGGGATCGTCAGCAGTGCGCATTTTACCACACCTTGTGATGGCAATGCGAGTGTCCGTAGTCTTACGATTTGGGGATTAAAACCACTGGGACACGAAGAATAAGCGACGGCCGGATGGAATGCGCACTTTTGACAATCCCCGAAAGGGTACACCAGCCAGCGGGTACTTTATCAGATGCGCAGCCACTACCCGAATGAGAGTTGCTGTGACGAGTCTTTATAGTATGTTAACTCCTCCAGATAAATGTGCCATAAAGAAGTGAACGAAACTCTAACACTTTGCTGACTTTGTAAGGAAGCAATACCCGATGCGGTTTTAACTACCGATTTGATAAAACTCCGAGGCTCATTTTCGTAGGTCTAAGATTTGCTGACCCGATCCAGTCATTCGGGAACCTTCGTGTTCTTTTGCTATGTCACCGGCTGACCACTTTAGGGATTCATCCAAGGCGATAGTTTACAGGTGAACCAGTCTGTGGAAACTATCGTCACCTTGTGATATTCATCAGAGGGGGCTGTTTTGCTTACGATAAGCTTAGGTTTCAGAATGGTTCGGATAGTGCCTACGCGATCGGTTCCATCTATATTAGCCAATCACTAAAATTGCTTTATGGAACTAACTAGTAGGGACACATTTGACATGTTTGTTTTGCAGTTTCTACCGAAGTTAACTAAACCTGTACCGACACGCACTCCGGAGTGCGCATTCCGCTGGTGACAGAATGTTTGGCTCCTCAGGCTTACCGTCAGGTGGATCGGGTAATCTCAAGGTTACCGAAGTTATCCAGTGGATACCACCCCATCCTCTTTTGTCGGTCACTTTAAATAGGGCCTACGTCAACGAAAAGTTCGCCAGTTCTATTGTCAGTAGTATCTTTACGGATCAGCATATGAGCGGCCCTGATGGTATGCATTGCAAATTGGATCCCTTCGTCGTATCAAATACCTGAAACACAGTGTCAGCACTAATATGCGATATTTACCTATAGGAAATAAATGAGGTATATGCATACGCTTTGTAGATTGCAAACGCACTGGAGGCATCACGAGTTCCACCAGAAGGAAAACATTGCTTCTACTGCTGCCATTGCAGATCCATGTGAAGTAATCCGTGAGCACTAGTTTATTATGAAACCTGCTACCGGTTTTCGAGGAAAATTTATGACGAGTTCGAAATAAGCAATGGTTTACACTCGTGACCACCCTCGTTCACTGTGCAGTTGTGTTTTGATACTTCTTTTCAGCTCGTGAAATTGTCTTGCCATGGTTTTGCTTGGCAAAAGTTTCGTAATCATCATAACAAGCATACAGAGTATACTTCAGCCTGTGTTCTTGTTCAGTGGAACTATTCTTCCTCGTCGCCTACGGTAAGGCGCCCAAACATTCTCCATCTAACCAACATGCGGCTGGTATTATTGGGGTATCTTAAGCAGTCACATATGATTCATGCGTATTTTCGCACTTGCTCTTCACACTAAGCTGTAAGCAGTGTTCACACAGTCAAAATTTTGTGAAACTGACTTTCCATCATCATTCCATAGGTGTTACACACGGTAGGTTTTAGGCCACTTAGTCGAAACTCAGTGAGTGAAGGACAGCCATCCTCTTGACCAATATCTGGGTACTGATAGTGCTGGCGCCTAGTGAAACATGGCTAATGAATTTTCGCCTCCCCACACACTTCGATGTATAATCCACATCATAGTACTTGTTAATAAACACATTTGCAGTCTCGCAGAGTCCGTTCAAACAACGTTCTGTGCTAATGAACCCGGAAGATGAAATGCATCACTCTTTGTTGAGAAGTGCTGTCACGACATTTCGCCATAGCAACATTGGATACAACACTGGAGGAATGTTACTTGCAGCCAGTCCATCACTCGAGTGATTTCCTTGGCTCCAATAAGATGTGTTGTACTTACTGAACCTGTTCACTGATGTGGTTGCATTCGTAATGGGGAATCAGTCCTCCTTTACGGGACCGGATACGGGTTAGTTGGTTATCCAGTAAACAATTACGAACAATTTTCTGGTGATCCGTCCAAATCCAGACCAACCTTATTGCTCGCTCCGTAAATTCAATTGCTGATCAGTCACATATTAGCATTTTGCTCATATTCTAGAAATTTAGGATGTGTGCTTGACTGTGTCGCATGCATATATATATATATATATATATATATATATATATATATATATATATGCCCCATACTGAGGCTGATGTTGCATTCTTGATGCTTCTTCACCGTAGTTGGGCTAAACCAACTTACAGTTAAACTAGTTCTCTTTAAGCTGCATAAATTTCATTCCGCTTTATTTGGTTTGTTCTGCCTCCCTGAATAATGTTCTATTAACTGGCCACGTTGCTTACACTAATTGCGCTTATCTTCGGTAATTTTGTTGCGTTCGTAGCATTTTAAGTAACTAGTGGACATTTCTTACTTATCACGGATTTGTTGCTAACCAACTTACTTCATATGGTAATTTAGGGAAGAGTTATGCCACCGTATCTGTATGCATTATTGGATTTATTTTATTTCAGCTTGTCGTTTAAAGTGAATGGCTGTAGTTTGATATCCCTGGTATGGTTGCGCTTGATGTGTATGTTGACAAGGTGCCTACCTGTCTATTACCCACTACATCGTTCATACTGGCTCCAGGAGACAGTTGGTCGTTGCTGGAGGGGACGGGGTGCACGGTCCTTGTGGCCGTGTTAGGATCAAAGAGTGGTTCCATGCACTCAGTGTGGAGCGGACTACGGTCCATCCACCGCCTTGTGTGCGCTTGATGCCCCAAATACAGCGTGCTTGTGTTCGCCTGTGAAGGAGTGTGGGCCGGCTCCGTTGATGAAACGTGGTTCCCATCCACATGCCCGCCGGTCTTATTCCTTCGGGTTTACACTGGATATGGGGTGTGTGGATAGAGCTGTGGGTGGTGCAGCGGGAGCGACCCATGGTCCCTCTGTAGGCGCAGGCGTCCTGTGGCTGACCCCAGTGACAGGCAAATCCGAAACCGGTTACCGCCAACCATATATATATATATATATATATATATATATATATATATATATATATATATATGTTAGATATTTGAAGTGACCTGGGTTTCTTGCCACAGTGTCGTGTTCTCTTAACTTGAATGTCAACACAAAGACGTAGAATTTGTAGGACAAGCCTTAGTTACACAGAGAACCTAGCGCAATTGCACTATTGTTACATGCTAACGGTACTCTTCAAATGCAGCCGACAAATCCAAGAAATTTCCCAGCGAAACTCTAGAAAAAATTGAAAGCTTGATTTAACCTTTTATTCATCGACCAAGTTAAGTGCTACTTAAGCACACTGATCTCTAGGTGCAAGTCAGAAAGCGAGATTTAACCAATATGCCGAAGATATCAAATATGGATTGATACACCGTTTTCAAATGTTACTTGCTCTTCTAGAGATCCCCAGATTAGCAACAGTGAACAGTCAACAAGGAGTTTCGTACCGATGCAGTTGAACTCTTGTGATTGGTTCGAGCAACTGAATCTTACAGTTCACGGTGGAGCAAAATCAATCCAGCTATCTGTTCTCAACAGTAAAATGTAGTGGTCAAGTTACTTAGCACGCACCAGCACATTTACGATAATTGTTGCAGCCAGAAGTTTTGGGTGTTGAGCGGCACGTGGACCACAATGTCCGAATCACTATGAATCAAGTACTGCGACAATGTAAGGGTGAGTTACCCGGTTGTAGTTCATCGAAATGATGCTGTCCGGCGGAGGCGTGTGGGTCCACGCCAGTAACCTTCACCAAAAACCGCGATAACCCTAGTTATGGACCAAATCAGGCAGAAACGAAAGTCATAGTGTTTGTAGTCTGAAGAAAATGCGGCACTGTAACATCAGAACAGTGACCTTCTGGGGGAACCATGAAAGATGATTACCAGGATTTGCACCATGCACTATCTGTCCAACAGTATTGTACCATGAATTCAACTGATATGCAGTCTTTTCCATTACACCACTAAGAAGCAGTTTGGATATATGATTAAGAAAAGCCCAACCGTAAAATGTTAGTTTTTTTTATTACATTTATTATGAAACGCAGAGGGGGAAAAGTCAGAAGGACCTGACATTTGGAGATAGTGGCATGGACTCCACAATGATGACTTGAGCCCAACATGGGGCCAGATGGAATACGTATGCTGACGATAGCTAAAATGAAGAAATGGCCGTACTGTGCTTATCCAACTGTGATAGCCTTCTGACTGAATCTACATGTGACCAACTTCTACTTTTACCATTCTAACACCTACTACTGTGGCAATCAACACGTGGACCAAGCTGTCATAGGTAAATAATCGACCTAATTTTTCATTAATTCGTCGCTTAGTGAAGGGTTTACTCTGTTCATTGCATAGCAGTAACATGCAAATCAATGGATATTGAGCAGCGCTATATCACAACTAATAACTTAGGCACGATATCGTTACCGCTCCCTAAATCCCAGTGGTCTTAACCACAGAAAGGTAACGGCCAGGTTGCGGGTCATAACCCTACAGGGACCAGATAAAACGCACACAGCTAACGATTGCCGAAAAGGGGAAACCACCGTAGGTGCTTTCCCGGCGCGCGGTGCCGCTCTGACAGTTTCCATATCATGAACTTCCACTTACACCATTAAGATTTCTCCACTGCTCTATTACAAACCGTAACTTAAGGTATTGTAGGCCATAACAGACACACTATCGGTGTAGTTTCACTGATCGTGACTTACATGAGTTATCAGGAGAATAATGATCATTTCTGTTTCCGATGGAGCAAACGCGATCATAGTCCCTCCGATAGCACTCCGTTTTCATGCGATTTTCATTCGCTTTCCTGTAGTCCGGTGGGGATGTTGGATATGTCTGCATGGGAATGTTATAAGGTTCACTGGGCGATGAACTATGACGGTTGAACGTCAAGGTAAAGCGCGAATCCCAATTCGGAGGCAGTTTAAATCCTTCAGATGCATTATCTTCATCGGTACGACTTCGCGGTTGCGTCGAAAAAGTATGACATCTAGCGTTAGACAGTGTGCTGACACAATCAAGGAAGGCTGCAGACGTTGCCGAAGTAAAACATCTACAGGCACCAAATAGTCTTCCTTCGGAGCATTTTGAGGTCACAGTACACTCATCGGTATTGTAAGTTGATGTCATTAGGCACAGAAGTTTGTGCTGCATCCAGTTGTAATGGAGCAGAATGCAAGACTCAAACCAAGCATGGCGCGGTAAACTGCGTACATTCCGATAAGGGGATGATATAGTTTGGGGTGGGTGAGATGAACAAGTCACACTATGGACGCGACGCTCGGCTCTGTCATTGGCCGTTCGAGTAAGGGAGGGGATAGGCATGCGACAGCTGCAGATTCGCTCGCTCTCATGTGCCAATGGGATTGCCGCCAACATGGGCTGGGCTGCACACTGAGAAAATCGATGGTAGGCTAACTTCCACATTTCTCGCAATGGTTGCTGTATTAAATGCGTTGGTACAATGCTTAGTTTCCTCCTCATTGCGTTAAAACGTGTAAAGCAATCGGAAGATGTACCAAAATGTGGGCGAATGTGATAGTTGCAACTTCCGTTTGCCCATACCTAAATATGCCCTACTCCGCCAGCTAATTACAGCCACTGTAACAATAGGACTGTCCCCGGTAACAGAGCTAATATTTCCGTGTGTGAGAACGAGACCATACATCCCTGATTATGTTGCGCTGTTGGCTAGCTAGGTTTGGAGTATAGATATACAGTCAGTCGCTTGTATAACTGTTCGCCAAACGAAAAGCTGTCCACTGTGCAATCGGAACTCCGAAACACTGAGGTCTCAGCATCAACTTGTTGAGCACAGCGAAAGTACGATTGTTTCATTGCGGTACTCTCTGTTCGAACACTTCGTGGTGACCTGATATATCCCCACTAAGAGCTCGCTCCTATGGTATAGGGGAAATTCTAGGTGGATCAGTGAGTACCATTGAATCGACAAACCTGCATCGGGGACAGTGAATCCCAAAGAGGCCGATGTTAGTGCCCAACTTGGTAAATGGTGTTTATTACTGCATTAACTAGCTGAAAGCGTAGTACTAATGAATTCCAGCTGTTTGGCCGTAGTTGAGACTTGCAACAAATGTGCTGGTGCACAACCACTTGTTGAGGACGTTTCGTATATTCTACCCTGGAATATACTTTCAACACTCCCATCTGCTGCTTTGAAACTACTGCGTCCACAGTCTCGGAAGGAATGACAGATTTCGACAACTATGATGGACGTCGTTTGAGACGGATTATTTGAAGATGTTGGAGAGAACGAGAGGGAGAGTGCATGTTAGGCGGAAGGATCTGCGCTTTAAATCACTGAACATCAGCCATACTTCACTTATATTCACAGTAAGTGAAAGCATAGCTTCATATTAGCACTTTTGACAGGCAACGGTAAATTGATGGACATTTTCTTATGTCCTTTATTTTTGTTTTTCTGTTTTCCATCTGTGGATTATGGAATAACGGAAACGTCCGGATAGTCGTTAGCCCCTGTTCAAGTAGCCAGATGACGCACCCAAGTACAGACACCCGAACACGGCTAAACGCGGGCTGGACAGGTTACTAATTGGATCTGTGGCGCACCACCACTGCAGGTGTATGCAATGTTAGTTTATGTCTCTCCAAACGAATGTTGTGTTTGCTCAAATACAGTGTGCTAAAAAGGATGCGTTGTTCTGAGTAAGCATGCCATCCGCTACACCTGTGCTCATGATTACCAAGGACAGCATCCCTTGGAATTGGGTTGCAGAACGAAGTGGTCTTTACTCTACAGCGCCGTTGCATACGAGTAGCAACTTTGCGCAAAGTATATGCAGTGCAAGGCCTACGAAGAGAATGTATCGTTGCCCGGCTGAAGCAAACGAGCTGCTCCGTGGCTCCCGGCATGGTCTGTGCACATACACTCCAACTCTCGTCCAAGTCAATGGAAGAAGTGTAGTCGTATAGTATTACAAACATATTGTGAGTGGGTTCCCTCGCGGTTTGGCTCATATCTGGTTGGAACACCGTGCGAGCAATTGGCGTTTTCGGGGCTGCGTATGTGGTGCAGAAAAAGCGGCTGAACCACTCAGCACCTCTTTATCACGCACCAGACTCTGATGGCTGGGCCACATGATGCGCAAGCCAGCCCACAAACTGCCGTGACGTGCATTGTTTGCGCACCGGGGATGCGGATGGAGGAAGGGGTGGGGGTGTCCAATCAATGACTTGGTCAAGAGGAATGAAGTTTCTTACTTCGAAGTTGACCTCGGTTGGAGTCTCTCGACTCCTTGGTTGGGGACCGAAGGAGGATGGACATTTTTGGCTGGATACACTTCCCGATATGGCTAGGAGCCGACCTCAATGACGTGTGTGTTGTAAATTTCTTGGTCTTTCACCCTCCAACAACGATCTCATTTATTATACAGAATATAACCCTTTTTGTGACACCATAGTCGGCTGTTGGCTCTGCGGAACGATGTCCATCTGTCACTGTTGACTCAGCTGGCGTGCCTCTGTTTCATCTTTTTTCTTCTTTTATGTTGCGGCACGATAGCTGAGGTGTTTTCCACCTGCAGCTAACGTGTATCATGATGAATGATGACGAGTGTATTCCACACACATGGTAGAGGAAGGTGTGACTTGGAGCAGCGGCAGCATCAAAAGCAACTACAACAACAACAACAGCAGCAGCAGCAGCAGCAGCAGCAACAACAACAACAACAACAACAGCAGCAGCAGCAGCAACAACAACAATAACAACAACAACAGCGGCAACAGCAACTAATGTCATTTTGTTGGAAACATTGGTTGTGTGAATAGGTAGTGATACACAACCTCAAAATGGACTGCCATTTATGTTGACGCAGTTTGATCGCAGGGACCGTGTCTTGGGCTAGTAAATGTTAGGTGCTCCTGGCTCCTGGCCCAACCAGCAACCGCTACATCCAGCGATCAACTCGTGGTCGCACTATCTCTATGTGAGAAATGCAGACAGCCACGAATCCAATGGTGTGTGCGGTGTCTTGAGCGGACACCTGACATGCGTCCAGTAAACAAATTTGTTAACTTTTTGTCACCTCATACCACGTAGCCGTTTTTTACTCGTGTTTACAGCTACCTTGTGTCCTTGGGAGCCCTGAATACGCCGACTGGTGTGTTCATGTGAGGATGGCGCGCGAAGTACCAATCCACGATTAGCTTGCCATATTTTTGTTTGTTCAAGTTCAAGTTCAGTTGGGACCGGAACGATAGGATAATCCCGTGAATGTTCCTTCTTTTGCGTATCGTCGGATCGGGAATTGACAGGTCTGCTTGAGATGTTGAAAAGCCTAAAACAAAGACCGCATCACACCCTGTCCAACCAATTACTGCCCACATTTTCCTGCCCAGCAGTCCCTGCCAGGCCGGTTTATGTGAAGTAAAAGAGTGAAGTGTAAGCTTAGAAAACAAGAGGAGGAATGTCAGCTAAATAATGATAATACCAAGGTGAGAAGGAAATTAAAAGGAACGAAGGGAAAGTTGAAGATACAAGTCGGTTAGGAGAAGGGGAAGGTTTGGTACTGCCACCCAAGAGCATCTAACAGACGCTCGAAACCCTCTACCGTAGACTCCCTAACCACGTGCGTCGGAAGCGAGTTCCAACGTTCAATAACTCGACGCGACAAGCGAGTTTCCGTCCTTACCCGGTCAGAACGCTGTTTGTGCAGCTTCAACGGGTGACCTCGGAGACTAGGCAGCTTGGCGGGACTAAATAACCAGGACAAGTCTGGACCAATCTTACCCGTTAAGATACGGTAAGTGAGGATCAAGTCTCCTCTCATTCTGCGGTAGTGCATTGAGTACATACCCAAGCTAAGCAAACGTTCGGGATACGTTTGCCCCCGTAATCCTTGCACTAACCTTGTACCCACTCGCAAAACCCTCTCCAGTTCCATTTTGTCCCTTACAAGACAAGGTGGACAAGCCTGGATAAAGTACTCTAAGTGGGGTCGCACGAAAGATGAGAACATCTTCACAAAAATATTGGCCGTTAGGACACCGAAGGAGCGGCGAATAAACCACATCATACGGAACCCTCTACAAGCAGCCTTCCTCCAATTTTCCCCAGAGTGAAGCAATGAGGTATGGGTGATACCTAGATCAACCTGCTGAATGACAACAGGGAGTTCACTTCCACCAACTACATAGCGCGTGGGAGGATTAGCACTTCCAATGAGGAGGACAGCACATTTCGCCTGATTTATGGGCATCAACCATAAGGTTGACCAATCCCAGAGCCTAACCAAAGCACTCTGAAGTGCCTCAGAGCCACCAGGGATATCCACAATATTCCAGAGCTTGAGGTCATCAGCAAACAATAGCGACGGTACTCCAAGCTCCTGGGGTAGGTCATTGACATAAATTGCGAAAAGCAACGGCCCTAGACCCGAGCCCTGCGGAACGCCACTAAGAACAGCTTGTCTAAGCGAAAGACTACGCCCCACGCGTACGCACTGTTCTCTGCCCTCTAGAAAAGCAGAAACCCATTTGAGGGCGGCTCCAGATATCCCATATGATCTCAACTTCAATGAGAGTCATTGATGGGGGACAGTATCAAAGGCTTTCGAGAAGTCAACGAAAAGCACGTCGATGGCGTGACCATTGTCTACTGCCTCAGCCCAGCTTTCACGAGCTACAAGTAAATTTGTCAGACATGAAAATCCCTTCCGGAATCCGTGCTGGGCCGCGCTGAGAAGGTTAAACTTAATCAGGTGATTCTCCACCGAATCCCTGACCAATTTTTCAAACAACTTAACTACTACACTTGTTAAGCTGACAGGCCGGTAGTTCGCGGGCAGAACTCTGTCCCCGCC